AAAACGCACCGAAAATTAGGTTCAACAAATCGTTGAATTCGTGCTGAAGTAAATGTTAAAATCTTTTAAATGGGCCTTAATACAAAATATCTGTCTGCAAACTTCTTAAGTATATTAAAATGCAAACTCATTCGGTACAATTTCTAACTCATTCAGTATATCTGTATACTGAATAAGTTTGTTTTTGATGAGCTGTCACATTACGGATTGATGATTTTTTACTTTTTGAGTATAATAAGCATACTCAACAAGTTAAAATTTAGCTGATTGGCTAATTTTGTACTTGTTAGTTCATTCCAGATTCTTTTTTGGCATTCCAAAAAGGTTTTAGCCCGTGTAAAATTTACTGTCTAGACAATTCTCTGACAAACGTAAGCAATGCTATCGCTGGAGTAAAGTATCAACTCAGCAGTCTCAAAATTTTCGATTTCGTCGGCAATTCCCTCCTGGAGACACCACTTTTTCCAAACTGACAACCAGAAAGCAGTGCTTTTCAATGGCACGTGCATTGAATGGAGGAATTACGGGAAGACTCGCCACCAAGGTAATCTTGCTTCCACAGAGTCGCCAACAGTAAACTAGCCACGAAGGTCGTTATCGTATAACTTCATGGTTTTCTGGATTTCGAAAGGTGATAGGTTGAGCATTTTTGGAATTAATTAGTGTTACAAAGCGTAACGCGTATTTATCTCTCGGAAGAGAAACACGATAGAGGTCAGGTCATTGTCATTTCTTTGAGTTCTAGTTTTGACTGCCCACTTCCGGGGTGGAGTTGCCTCAGTATTTTAAAATGACACGTCAATTCAAGCCAGGTGACTCCAGACCGAATGGCGTGTCCTTTTCTTTTATCTTTATATTTTTTCTTTATATTTATTTTTAAAACATTTCAAGAAATGTTTTACTGATGTGAAAAAAGTTTCCTGAATTCTACATTTATTTGTTTTTATTCGAATCATTTTTCAGCTTGACTATATTCATTTCTTTCTGATTAAAAATTTCCAAAATTATTGAGATCAATAATATTTAACAACAGAGGTACCACGGAGCATAATAGGTTGAGTGTTTGACTCCTAATTTAGCCCAAATATTTCTATTTTTACAAACCCCACCTCTTTTTCCAGACCTGGGAGAAATCAGGGCCTCAGTGTGAGATTTTTCCTTAACGACCTCACCCTCGGTTATCAAGTATTTATTAGTTTTAAAGGCTTATTTTACTGAAGGCAATTTTCCTTAAAAATCCTTGTCGAAGAATGCGTTTCGTTTCATCTTGCCTCATTTCATTTTACAAAGCTATGCACAAATTACACAGCATTGCTCAAACAACCGCTTTTTGAAGGATCGCAGTACTTAGAAAGATTAGGGGCTTTTTGCTTCCTTTAAAGCGCAAGCTATACGATAGCCCATTGATTACGGTGGCTCGTACCGGTTTTCATCTTTTTGATGGTTTGTAACTTTGAAAGAATACAACAGAAAGACTGACCAAGGCCAGTTGAACACTTTTACGGGGTTGAATTACATAATCATTGGTTATCCAAAAATAAGTGTCATTTCGTCACAAGCAGTTTCCATGACAACGCTTTCATAGGCTTATTCATACGCATTTTTTAGCTTGTGGCTTAAATAATTCGAAAACTAACCCGGTGACCCCCTGATTTTTTTCAGTGATTGCTTTTGGCACTTGAAAAGGAAAATGCACAAAGACTTTTAAAAAATTCTACG